TTGAATGTCAGCAGACAGCAAGAAGCCTCCCAGATCTCCAGATGCATTTGAGATATCAAAAAAGTACTCCAGGGTGTTGTTCAGCATGGGGGTGAGTAGAGAATGAAGGCTAATCATGTTTTGGGTGTACTATTCCTTTAAGAAAAAGTAGAGATAAGGAGGAGATGAACGGATAGCCTGACAAGAGAATCTTTATCACTAAAACAAACATCCAGGGGGATGGTGTTTTTTTTTTTTTTGGAAGCATACATAGGTTAATTGATATAGGAAATTAACCTAAAGCAGGCATGGACTGGTAATCTGGGATACCGGGCATTTGTCCGGTGGGTTGGTCCTAATTTCAGAGTGCGAGGGCCGGCCCTCCTTAAATCATACCGGCCCCAACACTTACTCTCCGCCCGAAGCATCTACCTTTGACAGTAAATAACTGAAGGGGCTCAATAAGTAATACAATATTAACTGCCTAAATGATGCATGCACTATATACACTCACCGGCCACTTTATTAGGTACCCCATGCTAGTAACGGGTTGGACCCCCTTTTGCCTTCAGAACTGCCTCAATTCTTCGTGGCATAGATTCAACAAGGTGCTGGAAGCATTCCTCAGGGAGTTTGGTCCATATTGACATGATGGCATCACACAGTTGCCGCAGATTTGTCGGCTGCACATCCATGATGCGAATCTCCCGTTCCACCACATCCCAAAGATGCTCTATTGGATTGAGATCTGGTGACTGTGGAGGCCATTTGAGTAAAGTGAACTCATTGTCATGTTCAAGAAACCAGTCTGAGATGATTCCAGCTTTATGACATGGCGCATTATCCTGCTGAAAGTAGCCATCAGAAGTTGGGTACATTGTTGTCATAAAGGGATGGACATGGTCAGCAACAATACTCAGGTAGGCTGTGGCGTTGCAACTATGCTCAATTGGTACCAAGGGGCCCAAAGAGTGCCAAGAAAATATTCCCCACACCATGACACCACCACCACCAGCCTGAACCGTTGATACAAGGTCGATGGATCCATGCTTTCATGTTGTAGACGCCAAATTCTGACCCTACTATCCAAATGTCGCAGCAGAAATCGAGACTCATCAGACCAGGCAACGTTTTTTCAATCTTCTATTGTCCAATTTTGATGAGCTTGTGCAAATTGTAGCCTCAGTTTCCTGTTCTTAGCTGAAAGGAGTGGCACCCGGTGTGGTCTTCAGACCAGCCCTTCTGGCACCAACAATCATGCCACGTTCAAAGTCACTCAAATCCCCTTTCTTCCCCATAATGATGCTCGGCTTGAACGGCAGAAGATTGTCTTGACCATGTCTACATGCCTAAATGCACTGAGTTGCCGCCATGTGATTGGCTGCTTAGAAATTAAGTGTTAACGAGCAGTTGGACAGGTGTACCTAATAAAGTGGCCGGTGAGTGTATAGGCCTTCCTCGTCATGCACATCCTTGTGACAGTTGGCATATGGTGTCATTTTCTATTTCTTCAAACTGTGAAATCCTTGCAACAAATGATAGTAAAACTAAAATGCTTGCTTTAAACCAAACTACGATGTTCCTCTTATATTTGGCAGGTTTATGTTCTATATTTTGCAAAAATATGTTGCGGTGCATGATGGGGTTTTGCATCAAAATGCTAACGTTTCCCGTCTTACGTGCATTGTTGCCAGGTTAAGATGTTTCCCAATCTGGCAGTTTAGGATGGCCGTCTTTGGGTAAAAAATGTTTTTCTTAGATTTATGTCCTAAGAGATCAATAGACTTTGGTTCCAATTAGGTGAGATTTCTTATATCCACGTGGTTTCTGAAAATTTTTTGGGCTGGAGAACGTGAGTCAGTGACATCAGGCAACCCTGCTGACGTGGTGAGTGGCGCTGGTCCATGGGAATATGGACGCTGCGGATGTTGCTTCGGTTATATTTTTTTATTTCCATAATTGGGCCAGTCGAGATGGAAAAATGCCAGGGCCAAAAATCGTTCCCAGTCCGAGCGTGCAGCCATCCATCCATTTTCTATCACCACCACAAGTGGGGTCGCAAGGGGTTCAGATGCCTATCTCCAGCTTTCTATGGGTGAGAGGCGGGGTCCACCCTGGACGGGTCACCAGTCCATCTCAGGGCAACACAGAGACAAACAACCATTCACACACTCACACCTAAGGAGAATTTAGAGAAACCAATTAACCTAACAGTCATGTTTTTGGGCTGTGGGAGGAAGCTGCTGTTCTTTCAGGTCAGCATACCCCGTCCGACCAGCATACTCATAGTCAATACGCATGTGCAAGACATCAATTTGCATATGCGTATGCTAGTCCCACTTATCCTTTTAGTTTATCCATAAGTCTAGTTATTTAAAAAAAAAAAAACCAGGGGGATGGTTTTTTTTTTTTTTTTTTTTTCTGAAACTTACATAGCCTAATTGATATAGGCAATTAACTTAAAGCAATATGCATGGTATGGTTGTTCCATGTCAGGTACAATGGTCATTGATCTTGACCAAGGCACCTTCCAGTAGAACTGCAGTCAGTCCCTGGACTGGCCTGGCTATCGCTGCCCCTACATAGTTAGCATGGCTATCGCTGCCCCTACATAGTTAGCATGGCTATCACTGCCCCTGAGTTAGCATGGCTATTACTGCCCCTACATAGTTAGCATGGCTATCGCTGCCCCTACATAGTTAGCATGGCTATCACTGTCCCTACATAGTTAGCATGGCTATCCCTGCCCCTACATAGTTAGCATGGCTATCGCTGCCCCTACATAGTTAGCATGGCTATCACTGCCCATGAGTTAGCATGGCTATCACTGCCCCTACATAGTTAGCATGGCTATCACTGCCCCTGAGTTAGCATGGCTATCACTGCCCCTACATAGTTAGCATGGCTATCGCTGCCCCTACATAGTTAGCATGGCTATCGCTGTCCCTACATAGTTAGCATGGCTATCCCTGCCCCTACACAGTTAGCATGGCTATCGCTGCCCCTACATAGTTAGCATGGCTATCACTGCCCTTACAGAGTTAGCATGGCTATCACTGCCCTTACAGAGTTAGCATGGCTATCACTGCCCTTACATAGTTAGCATGGCTATCACTGCCCTTACAGAGTTAGCATGGCTATCCCTGCCACTACATAGTTAGCATGGCTATCGCTGCTCCTACATAGTTAGCATGGCTATCACTGCCCCTACATATCTAGCATGGCTATCACTGCCCCTACAGAGTTAGCATGGCTATCACTGCCCTTAACGAGTTAGCATGGCTATCACTGTCCCTAAATAGTTAGCATGGCTATCATTGTCCCTACATAGTTAGCATGGCTATCACTGCCCCTGCATAGCTAGGGACTAATTTCCCACTGGGATCAGCTTCATGGTCATGGTAGGACACTTGTTTTATTTTATTTTATTGGCTCAGGCTACTTGTAAGCCCACAGCCCGCCGAATGTTGAAAGGGCAATATTATTGAAATTATGTTAATATATAGTAGAAATTTACACATTCAGTGTAACTCAACTTGAGTACTGAGTTTATCTCCATTTAGCCCTTTAGTTCTGTACTAAAAAAAACACACAAACTACCTCGACATTCATGTACACCTTTAGTCATGTAAAAAGACTAAATTTAAAGTCAGATCGTCATACGCTTCAAAAAACACCAAAACGTAGGCAATCTCTTACACCAAACATGCTCATAGCAACAGTGGAGAGGAAAAACTCCCTTTCAACAGGAAGAAACCTCCAGCAGAACCAGGCTCAGTGTGAGCGGCCATCTGCCGAGGCCAACTGGGGTTCAAGGAGAGAGAAACAGTACAAGAATTAAAAATTAAGACTTCAATTCCTCCCTCCGGTCCTTTAGGTGGCGGTACAATTGAAATGGATATGCTTTCGCAAAGAAGGGAACAGAGTTGCAGTTAGCACCTAGATTTCAAGGTCATGAAAAAACTGAAACCCTGAGGTAAAACATCCACATGCTTGTGCTCAGCGCAAAGGAAAATCACAATAAAATTGGAATCGCAATATTTGTTCAAAATAAACGCAAAATCGTTCAGGCGCAGTCACCACTAAGAATGCTGTTATGGTAGAAAAGAAAACCCGGACTACTATGATGAATTCAGACAGCCTTTAACTTTGCGGAAAATGGTAGTCCACTCGGGACTACGCCCTTCTGGAAAAGAACGACCTAAAATAAAAGTTACACAAATATAGAAAATGGCTGAATCTCTCATTTATAAAAGCCTAAACTTCTAAAGGTGTGAACAGTTAACAGAATTCACACAGAATACTCTTCCTACCTCCTCCCTTACTGCCACCTCTATTCTGACTATTCTGACCTATCATGGCTACCCGCCACACGTAGCGAGACGATGGCCCCTCAAGGATTTGAGTTTAAGACCTTGGGATCGACATGTTCATGTTGGTATGGCCCAGTCAAAGTTCAAATGAACTGAAACCAACTTAGAATCTCTGGAAGCTGTTCAGTAGAGTCAAACAAAGCTTTATGTAATAATAATAAATCAAAGTATTAAGTTGTAAGGTTGTAAAAGTGCAATAATATTTATGTCAGTAATACTTGCAATGTTGCATAAACTTTAGAGCCTCGACTGGACAGAGTCTTTAACATGGATGTTTATAGACTCTGAATCCCTTTTCTGCAGAATCCAACCCTTTTCTTCTGCCAGCCACCTGTATCCATGGCTACCATGGTGATGGAAAGTATCGGACGTGTGTTCATCAGCCTGCAGCAGATCCGGCAGGTCCCCCGACTGCTGACCGAGGCGGCGCCCTCCATGCCTGGCACCGTCACCGACTCAGAGGTCCCAGCCTACTTCAGGGAGCGCTACATCTCCACCGGTTACAGGCCGCTTGAGCAGAGCTGGCGCTACTACTTCCAGTCGACGTTCCAGCGCCACAATGAGACCATCAACGTCTGGACTCACCTGCTTGCCTTTTTATTGCTGCTGGTTAAGCTTCGCCAACTGGCAGACACGGCTGACTTTGTCAACGACCCTCATTCATGGCCATTGTTGATCCTGGTGATATCCTCCCTGACTTACTCGGCATTCAGCGTAGCAGCTCACCTACTGGGGGGTAAATCGGAGCTCTGTCACTACCTGTTCTACTTTTTGGACTACGTTGGAGTGGCGCAGTACCAGTACGGCAGCGCTGTGGTTCACTTTTACTATGCAGTGGATGAGGCCATGCACCGAAACATTCAAGGGATCTTCATGCCAGCTGCCACTATCCTCAGCTGCCTGTCTTGCCTGGGATGTTGCTATGGGAAGTACTGCAGCCACACCTCCCCCCGCTGGGTCCGTAAGGTGTGCCAGGTGGTGCCTTCTGCCCTGGCCTATATGTGGGATAGCAGCCCCGTGGCCAGAAGAATCTTCCTTTGGTCCAGCGATGACCCAACCGTCGTCTACCACTTTGGTCAGGTGGCGTTCTTCCTCAGCTGTGCCCTCTTCTTTACTTTCCCCCTGCTGGAGCGTTGCCTCCCCGGTCGGTGTGATTTCGTGGGCCAGAGCCATCAGGTGTTCCACGTTTTGCTGTCCTGTTGCACCTTCTGTCAGATTCATGCCTGCTACCTCGACTATGTTCATCGCAGGCAGCTTTATTTGCGCCTCCATGACAGCGGGGACGCCGCTCTCTTTGTGGGATTATACGTCCTGGTGTTGGTTGGATGCGCGCTCATCACTGCCTTCATGCTGAGGAAAGTTAAACAGGTTCTCGACTTCAAAATGAAGTCCAAATAAAGAGGTAGTCTAGTGCCTTTCCTGGCAGATACCAAGCAGGAAGCAAAGTATCTGCACTTATTTTCATGTACTAATAAATAGAAATGTATTTTTTTATTTTTAGTATTAATATTATTTAGGTTCCTGTAATTTATGACTAAAAGTTGAATACCACTGCCTCATTACATGGCCAATCGAAATGGCATTACTGTATTGCTAGAACTTATATGTACATTAGGACATGTGTTGCTGCTATTTTGGAGTTTTTTAGCTGTTTTGATGTGAAGTGAATTATATATACTTGTTGCAAGGAAAGAAAATTTTTTGTAGAAAGATTTAACAGATTATAAAAAAAAAAAAAACTATCCAGAAATGATACTTATAAAACATTTAAATTCGGTTTTATAGTAACTTTGCTGTTTTCTCTGATGTTTTTTATTTGAAATTCATTTATATATACATTTTTCAAATGATGTTTTTTAATCTTTTTTTACTGGTTTAATATTTTCAAATTCTATATTTCGAATTAATAAAAAAAAACTGATACAGATTCCATATTTTAACTTTTTTATTTCTACATTTCAAATTGAGTTTTACAAACTGCATTCTTTTCAAATTGCGATTTTTCTTGATCAGGTTCTCTTCACCTCTGGGGGCGGGCTTTCCTCTGGAATGAGGAGTTAAAGCTTTTCTAGTGGGCTGCATGGATGTTAGCACCATTTTATTTAGTGTGCTAGACAATAGCGAGTGTTTGAACTCAATTTAGAAATTCCAAAAAAGTAAAAAAACAATCCACTGGACTTTGTTTCCACTTTTAAGATGTTTCGCTTCCCATCCAGGAAGATTTTTCAATTCAAATGATAGCGTAGAGTTTCAGGCTTTAAGGGGTGGACCAAAAATAAAAGCTTGTTTTGGCTTAGAAACATGCAAGTTGAACCGGATGAACGGGTCCGCCCCTTAGGAATGGGCAGGAATGGGAATCATTGGGTCCTTTGTTAGCATGCAACACCCGCTACATGTCTTTGTCTCTGAAAGGGGTGTAGTTAGAAAGAATGCATTTTGTAAAGCTCAATTTGATAAACAAAATTTTGCTAAAAAAAATTAAAATATAAAATCTGTGAAAAAAAAATTAATGGAAAAATTTTTACAATAAAATCTGAAAAAAAAAGTAAAAGATAAAATATGAGTTATAAATATAACAGAGATGACATAACAGAAAAGAGCAAAGTTGTTTAAACCTCTTTTTGTTCAACATTTAATTTCCAGATTGAATTTTTTTTTTCAAATTTCAATTTACAAAATATGTTCTTTTCTTCACAAATAATGGAACAAAATTCACTCCATATTTCTATATTAACCTTCTAACAAAAAGAACCTAAAGGAAATGCTCGTATTAAGATGTAATTTGGTCAACATGCAGAAAGATGGTGGGTGGTTAAACAACTAGTTGCCTGAGCTTTTTGTTAAAACATAGCTAGTCTAGGTAGCATGAGGGTTAGGGAATGCACAATGTGCCACAAAGCCTCATGCAAACCTAGTTATGTGACCCCTGTTAGCTACCCGAAGTTTGAATGTATTTCTAATGCAGACTCTGTTTCTAGTGACCTTTACTGTTTTCATCGACTGACAGGTGCTTCTGCAACTGCCTGATTACAACCTAACCTCACACTGCAAAAAGCGAAGTAAAAGGAAGTACATTTTCTTAAAATAGGTGCATTTACACCTGAAATTGAGTTCGTATTAAATAAGATTTCCAAATGGAATAAGTTTTGCACTTTGAAAAGGAAAAAATGGATCTCCATTATCCTAATTTAGAGGCGGCGTGTGGAATTATCTTATTAAAGGGACCAAAATACTCTTTCCATTGGCAGATAATCTTACCTGCTGAAATGAAGGGCGAATACACTTATTTTTAAGAATCGTTTACTTGATTTTATATAGGGCTGGGCAATAAATTGCATTTGTAATATAATTGCAATTTAACAGAAAAACAATTTTCAAATTGCAGAGGCACAAATTTTTAATCACACTGTATTTAACAAAAGTAAGGCATTACATGTCTCACTCCAGGCCTTTCGGTGGTGGTAAAATGATTGAATCGTTTATTTTTCACCACACAGAAAGGTGGAGAAAGTTGCAGATCAATGCATGGAAGTAGAGGTATTCACTTTTTCACACAAAGGTTACAGTGATGTCCTGTAACGGAGGATTCTGGGCAAGCAAGCTTTCAAAAACTGAAAGCCTGGAGTTAAACATGTACAATCTTGGGGTTAGTGCAGGGAAAATGGAAATAAAATAGAAGTGTTGGTTAAAAATAATGTAAGTTTAGATTTTATGCAAATTTTCTCAGCCCTAATTTTACATCAGTGATTGCATTGTAATCACGATGCCACTCATTGTGCCTTCTGGAGGCCATTCTAGGCCTAAAAGCTATTCCGAACTGAAATCCTTTCCAGTGTTAGTCCTCGTGTACAAAATCAAGTCCCGTTCACTTTGATCTATTTTATGTGCATTTATTTTGATGCTATTAACCTCCCGAATGTTTTATCAGACCGTTTTATAACAGAAGTGACACTAAATTGTAGTTTTTCTGACTGTAATAGAATCAGTTCATAACATGATGTGACCAGGCCTCATAGCAGAGCTGCTGTCTTCTTGATGTGGATCAAGCTGAAAATGTGTTTCCTTTTTTGTGCTCTGAGAATGTATGTTTATCCTGTATTTTCTGTCACTGATTGAATGTCGGTTATGAAAAGGCATCCTCCCCTTGTTCTCGGCCCCTAAGCGTTGTGCAAATCATCTAAAGCTAAAGATTTAGGATTCAAAATCCTGCTTTCATTGTATTAAAGAGTTAGGGTTTTAAATCTTTGAAAAGGCACCTTAAAATGTTTCAAAGTCTCAGTCTGAGATTTATGTCCTGTTTTTGTGAGTCTGTGTTTTATTTTTCTGATTATTTTTTTTTGTAGATTGATTCCTCTGCCAGTATTGAATATATTTGTCTATTAAGCGATGGTTCGGGAATTCTGAAGAGAGATTTGTTCAAAGCTTAAAACTGGGAATATCTTAACTACAGTAGATTCTAGTGTTGCACCGATACCAGTATCGGGCAGGACCCATATCCAGCACTAAAATGGTGGTATCGGTATCTCCGAGTACCGACAAATAGGGCACAGATACCATTTTGAGAGCCAAAAGTTTATTCAACTATTGTCACCCATTCCAGGTAGGCAATAAAAAGTTCTACTGGATTCACTTTGTATTAGTCTTTTTCCTGCTTCACAGCCAGGTATCGGGGCCAAAAAATGGCATCAGTGCAACACTAGTAGATAACTTTTAGTTGTAAATCCTGGTTAGTTTTTGTTTTTACATGTTCTGCAAGAACCCAGTCGTTTTTTTCTTCCGCTTGTTGCAAGAACAGAAAAAAAAACGTTTAATTTGCCTCAGACATTGTAAGGGAGAGGAAAAACTTAGAAGATAAGTTCTCTATTTGTTAAAAACTATTTTAAGAGCCTTTTATGAACCTGAAATGTACTTTGGATGGCTATTTTCACAGATAATTAAATCCACTTTAGGAGACCATGTACCACAAGTGATCTACTTACTGGTTTTTTTTTATCTTTACTTTCAGATCTGAAACGTTTCACATGTTTGGCTCTAAGTTCATGTTTTACAGCTCGGCGCCTCCTACTTTCTTTTCTTACATAATAACTGCTGGCTTCCCTCAAAGCAAACGTGAGCCCACAGATTAGGGGAATCCAAAGTCTTCCCATAAATCACAGACGTGGTTGAGATTGGAATTGCTTCAGGCTGGTCGGAGTCCTGCTCCTGACTAGCTGTTAACTCCAGGATCCCCTCAGGAATGATGGCAAACAGAGACGCCTGAGGATTCTTTTACTGCAGGGAAGATGCCAGCTACACATTACAGAGCCTGAACCATCTCTTTTTCTAATTCATGAGGGATTTGTAATATCGCAGAGATTGTATTTTGTAAAAAATTTGCCTTTTTAAGATTTTGTATCAGAATAGCTGTTGTCTAAAGAGCTGAACTCTGCCTGTATTGTGGAAAACTGGCTGTTTGGTGTTTAGTAAAACTTGTACACTGTGATCTTATCTGTGTTCCCCGTGCATCTGTTTAAAAAAAAAAAAAAAAAGTGAGGCTCCGGTGAGAGCTTACTTCTTCACAACCAGCTTCTATTTCTCAATCAGTATTCACTCCTTTCCCCTCTGAGATGGTGGACGTGTCTGGACTCGTCCCCAGACGGCCTCATGGGTCTCTTTGTTCGCTCTCGCAGCCTGTAGTGTAGAATGGCTAAGCCTAGAAGAAAGTGCTAATTTAATGAAGAGTGAAAAAGTTAAATAATGCAGCCCAGAAAGCTAGTTTACATCAGAATCAGAAATTCTTTAATTATCCCATGGAAGGAAAAAGAGTCTCAATTGAATCTTTAAACACTGAATTGTTTTAGCACCAAATTTTAAACACTTTTTTCTACACATTGAGTTCCTTACATTGAATTTTTATTTGGTAAAAATTTGCCTGCAAAAAAAATTACCTGCAAAAAATTTGCCTACAAATGTTTAGACCTTTTGGTGAACTCAAGCCAAAGCAATCTACACCTGATGCAGTCCAGCTGCTTTTAGCCAAGAAGCAACACCTCTACACTGCAAAAATGTATATCTAAGTAAGACATTTATTCTTAAATTAAGTGCATTTCTACTTGAATTGGGCAGGTTAGAGAGACACTTTGCCAATGGACCAAGACAATTTACATTTAAAATGAGAAAAAAACACTACAGTCTCCTATTTTAAGTGCATATTTTCTAATGTTTTTATTTAAAAGGTAAAAATGCTCATTCCATTGGCAGATCATATTATTTTCCTACTCAAATTAAGGTTAAATACACTTATTTTAAGATTTTTTTTTTCTCATTTTCAGAACGTTATTGCAGTGTAGTTCAGGTTTGCTATTGTATTATATAATGAAATTGCTCTGCGTATTTCTAGACAGATGGTAGCAGCTAGTGTTGCGCCAATGCCATTTTTTGGCTCCGATACCTGGCCATGCAGGAAAAAGACTAATACAAAGTGATTCCAATAGAACTTTTTATTGCCTACCTGGAATAGGTGACAACAGTTGAATAAACTTTTGGCTCTCAAGATGGTATCGGTGCCCTATGTGTTGGGAGTCGCTGATACCGATACCACCATTTTAGTGCTGGATTGGGGGCCCGCCCGATAATGGTATCGGTGCAACACTAGTACCAACCCATGTAAGGGATGACATTCCTTCTTCATGAGCTTGTACCATTTTGATCAGGATACCTCAGATCACTCTCCATA